AGGGTGAGCTGCAGCAGGTCCGAGCCTGACTGAACCCCACCCCCACCCTTCCCAGCAATCAGTTCAAGAAGTTCCCTCAGATGACCTCGTACCACCGCATGCTGCTACACCGCGTTGCCGCCTACTTTGGCATGGACCACAACGTGGACCAGACCGGCAAGGCCGTCATCATCAACAAGACTGGCAACACTCGCATGTGAGCGCCCCGCGAGAACCCAGGAGGCCGACCCTCCCCCACGTTCCCAGCCCAGGCCAGAGCAGCCCTAGCTTTGTGCCCGGCCTCTGCAGTGTGGGGAGCTAGAAAAGTGCCCCCCAAATCCATGCACAGACCTGCCCACCACTGCATGCCACTGACCGCCCCCCCCACCTCTGTTCTATCGTGGGGATGGGGAGTGTCCCACTGGCCTCGGCCCCCCACTAACAAGGCCCCTTCCCCCCCACAGCCCGGAGCAGCGCTTCTCAGAGCACATCAAGGATGAGAAGAGCGCAGAGTTCCCCCAGCGCTTCATCCTCAAACGGGATGACGCCAGCATGGACCGGGATGAGAACCAGGTGGGATGTGGGGGGTGAACCGCTGGGGTGGATGGGGTGCAGATCCCCCAGAGGAGTGGGGGGTGGCCATCTGTCCATGCGCAGCCACCTGATGCCATGTGCCCAGCTCATGTCTTGGGGTCCTTCCCAATGGGCGACCTCAGCCATCAGAGGCCCCGTCCCCATCCCCCCGTGCCAGCCCTTCCCATCACACCTGTTCTGGGTGGCAGCCCCCCTCCTTACACATGTACCTCTGTGTGTGGATGTGTGTGTCTGTGTTTGTTTGTGTGTGTGTGTGTGCGTGCACGTCCATGTGGGTCTGTGTCCACATGTCTGTGTGCAAGTGGCCTTGCGCACCTGGGAGCTTTAACGGTCGACTCCCCCCCCACCCCACAGATGCGGCTCCCATTGCAGGATGGGCGGCGGAGCAAGTCCATCGAGGAGCGCGAAGAGGAGTACCAGCGCGTCCGCGAGCGCATCTTCGCCCGTGAGGTGAGACCCACTGCCTCTGCAGAGCACCAGACCCAGATGGAAGAGGCGGCATGGATGAGCAGTTAGAGCCAGGGGGGGAGTCTCCAGGACTCCTGGGTTCTGCTCTCCACTCCAGCCACCCCCACACAAAATTAGGGGCTGGACTCGAAGATCTTCCAAGGTCCCTTCCAGCCCTAATGTCTATGAAAATAGCTGCAGGTGTCGTCGTCGTCGTCCCCCTCCCCCTCTGAATGCCTGGAGCAGAAGGGGGTGGGGGGTGCCCTGATGCCCCAGAGTGGGGCTGGGTGCTGTGGAGCACCTCAGCCCCTGACTGACTCCCCTTTCTCTCCCCTCCCAGCAGGAACGCCAGAACGGCTACCTGACCGACAGCAGGTGAGTGCTGGCGCTGCCTCCCTCACTGCCCTGTGGCCGCCCCCCGCGCCCCGTAACAACGCTTCTCTCTGCTGTTAACCCACAGACTCGCCCAAGACGCCTTGTCCTGTAGCTCGCACAAAAGGCGCCAGATCTTTAGGTACCTGTGTGTGCCCCCCCATGCTGCCCCCCACCACTCCTGCATGGCTTCTGCTTGCTCCGTCCTTCAGTCGCTTTGGCAGTTCCCTCTGCCCCGTCCGGCGGCCCCATGGCCCCATCTCCCTCAGCACGGCTTCTCCAGCCCCCATGAGCCCTTCTCCTCCAGACGGACCAGGGACTCCGCTCTGCCTTTCCTCTGCTTTCTGCCCCAGTCGCTTCCCAGCCGGTGAGAGGTGCCGGCTGGGGATGGATGTTCTGTTCAGCTGGGATGTGCTGCTCCCAAGTTATTCCACTGTGACTCCTGTCTATCCCGGGATAAACCCCTGCCACTTCAAAGCCACTGGGTTTTGGCTCCTCTTCTTGTGTCAGAAGAGCAGACAGGCACAGCCCTTAGATTAGAAAGGGGTATATCCGTATACGTGGTACTGGGGTAACAGCTACGTCCGTCCACAAGCCTGGGCCAGCACTGACTGATGCCCGCACTGGCCGTCTAGCTCCATGCTGTGCAGGGGACCCATGAGGGGGGAGCTGAGTCTCTGGCTCAAGGCCATGGCCCCAAGCAGGGCCAGCTGCACTGTGGTTATCCCACAGACAGTGCCCAGCTTGTGGCTCCAGGTCCTGGTGTTGTCCTTACAAAGCAGCTGCAAGGCTGGGGACTTGGCCAGTAGGCTGATGGGCACTGGGCTGGGTTGGGGGGGCAGCAGAGTGCGTGGGGGCTCTTGGGAGCAGAGCTGAGGTCCCTCAGTCCCTAGATGTACAACTGGGGGCCCCGTGACAGGACCCTGCCGTCCCAGGAAGCTGTGGCCGTGGGGCACCAAGACTGGCAGGGCAGACGGCAGTGGCTGGCGTGTCCCAGAGCAGCCTTGCCATGTGCAGAGGAGGTCCAAGGTCCTGGCTACAGGCAGCTTCTGTGCCCAGTACTGCCAGGACTCAAATGATTCTGGGGAGGAATGTCCCACACCAGGGGGAGTTACCCCAGGGCAAACGTGTTCATCCAGGGGTAACCAGTCCCTTAAGGCCTATGGGTTCTTACCCACGGCCCTGTCCCCTAGGGACCAGGTGCCATAGTAGCCGCTGGGGACTACTGCTGCCCCAGGGTAGTGGCCATCCATTTGTGCCAGCCCGGGGGCAGGTGACGGGTTGCAGTCCCGGTGGGAGCTGTGCTGGGTCTGGGCCTCAGGGTCAGGGCCTGAGGTGGGGCTGGGCATCCTGTCTCTGCAGCCAGAGAGCAGAAGGATGTCTGGCAGGATTGGGAGGTCATGGGCCCAAGAGCCCCTGGCCAGGCACATCTAGGGGAGCCCCAGCCCCGTTTACCTCCCCCCCTTCCCTGCCTGGTGCTCGCTCCGCTTGCCGGCTCCAGCGCAGCCCCCGCTCTTGGCAGGGGAAACCGGGACGGGCTGCCCCGGCCCCCGGGCAGCCGGCAGAGCAGCACAGAGAGCGAGCTGAAGTCACTGGAGCCGCGACCCTGGAGCAGCACTGACTCAGATGGCTCGGCCCGGAGCCTGCGCCCGCCTGTCACCAAGGCCAGCAGCTTCAGCGGCATCTCCATCCTCACCCGCGGTGACAGCATCGGCAGCAGCAAGGGTGCTGGGGCCAGCCGGGCGGCCAGGCCAGGTACCGCAGGGTGGCGGTGGGGACTTGAACCTGTGCCCGGGTTGCCCGCGTGCTCCCGACCCGGCCCCAGAGGGATCCCAGCCCCATCCCAGCAGTCTGGCTGCATTCCCTGGCTTCCAGGGGCAGGGAGCCAGTAATTAGCCCAGCACATCATGGACTAATTACCCGTCTGGAATGGTGTGTCTCTGTGCTCACCAGAGCCACTGGGCATGGGGCAAGCGGTACCAGAGGGATTTTAGGCACGTGGGTGGGTGTGGTCTTGCCAAGGGCAGGACCTAGGGCTTGGGAGCAGCCTGGCAGGCCAATACCCCACCCCTGGCCTGACCCAGGATGCCTGGGTCCCATCACCAGCTCTGCCACTGGTCTCTGGGACCGAGTCCCACTCTGCACCTCAGTTTCCCCATGTATAAATGGGGGAAAGAGAGATGAGTCCTGGACTCTCACTGAGTTGTGGGAGCCTCACTGATGCCTCCCCTCTGCCCAGGTCTGATGCTGGCCACCCCGGAGCCTGGCAGCCCAGCGGCCACATCCCAGCCAGGGCGCGGGGGGCTCCTGCCCTGTTCTGCCCAGCCCCAACCACAGCCCCCGCCTCGCCAGCGATGAGCAACCACCTCCTGTCGCAGGTGAGTCATTCACTGGGGGTGGTGGATGCTGGGGCCACTGAGCCCTTGGCCTGGCAAGTGTGCCCCGCCCCCAGCCCCCGGGAGGTTGGGCTGCCCCTCTGGGGATCTCAGAGGGGGGTTGAGTGCCCCACTCCCTTCGGCTCAGTCGTGCTCCTAACCCCCCTTGGCTTCCCTGCCACATTACTGCTTGCTACCTTGGGGTTAACACGCTCTCTCTGCCCCTTCTCCATCCCCACTGCTCCTAAAAGGCTCCTGCCCCAGCCATCGGGGTGTAGGCAGCCTGGGGCTCTTGCAGGGGGTATCATGGCCTGCCCCCTCCCCCAGTTTGGGAGTGTGTGTGTGCATGGGTTCTCTTGGCAACAAGCCCCCCTCCCCAGCTTCCCCAAGCCCTGGGATCCTCCCCCGGCACCAGCTCTGCAACTAACCTTGTCCTTCCTTCTCTCTCCCCCACCCTCCCGGCTTTCCCCCCACCCCGCCATCTCTCTCTCCCCGCCTCTCTGCCGGACGCAGCCTGTCCCAGCCCTGCAGCCTGTTCAGTACTCTCCAAGCTCCTGCCCCCAAGTCCTCCTGCCCGTGTCTCCGTCCCAGCAGTACAACATGGTACCAGCCCCGCTGCCTCTTGCCTCGCTCTGTCTGTGCTGCGTGAGCTTTGCCACCCTGGGGGCAGGGGACACCAGCCTGGCCGTGGAGTGGGGGGGCTGTGGCGGGAGCTCCAAGCCAGCTGTGGCCTGCAGTGATTGGGCCCCAGCATTGGGGCCATTCAGGGGTCTGGGCCATGGCTCACCCAGCCCCAGGGTCTCGGGGGGGTGTCAAGGCAATGTAGGGCCCCCCCTCCAATGAGAGGAAGGGGGCCTAGGATAGTGCCATCATGGCTCCGGATGCATCTGTTCCCCCCAGCCACCAGCAGGTGGCACCCTTGGCTGTGTGGACATGCACCACGCTCTGCCCGTGGTCCCGGGCACCCTATGGACACAGCTTTTTCCGCCTGGGGCTGTTCTCCAGGAATAGGGCCAGGCCCAGGCTGGGAGATCCAGGGCACTGCAAGCCCCACCCCCAGCTGGGATGCTGGCTGCCCTGGCTCGGGGGTCCCAGCCTGCTCCACTCCAGATAGGGAAGAGGATGCTGGTGCTGGGGAGCCCCATGGCAGTGCCCTGCCCAAGGACAGCCCTGGCCCTGGGGGGGGTTGGGGCATTGGGGGTTGCAGGCAGAAACTGTTCAGAGCTAACATGCCCCCTTCTCCCCCCACCACAGGCCGAGGAGCTCAGCACCCCTTTCGGGCAGATCAGCCTCAGCCGCCAGGGCTCCACGGAGGCTCCAGACCCCTCCCCCAGTGCCCTCTTCCAGCCCCCGCTCCTCTCCCAGCCCCCGCAGCAGACGGGCTTCATCATGGCCTCACCCGGGCAGCCTGGAGCCCCCTCCAGCTACTCCGCCTCGGGGCACACGGCCACCACCCAGCAGGTCCTGCAGCCCCAGGGCTACATCCAGCCGCCCCAGCAAGTGAGCTGGGGGTGTGGGGTGGGGGGAGGGGGCATGGGCTCACCTGGAGCGGGCGCAGACAGATGGCGGCTTATCCCGGGGGAGCTCAGGGGCTGCAACTGCAGTGTCCCACCAGCAGGTGGAGGGGGGGAAGGTGGAAGTTACCCTGCGGGGTTCAGACAGGCAAGTCTTCTTTGGGGGTGGAGGGGCTCCGTGCTGCCCCACCCAGCCTAGTCCAACTCGTCCCCCTTTTTCCTTCACAGATTCAGGTCTCATACTACCCTCCTGGGCAGTACCCCAGCTCCAGCCAGCAATACCGCACCCTGAGCCATCCTGTGGCATACAGCCCTCAGCGCAGCCAGCAGCTCCCCCAGCAGTCACAGCAGCCTGGTGAGGGGCAGGGGGACTGGGGCAGCAGGGCAAAGGAGGTTGGAAAATGAACCTGACGTGGGTGGGTGGGCGGGCAGGGAAGGGGCTTAGCCTCTCTGGGGACCCCGTGAGACCTGCCCTCACCCAGCCATGTGAACTGTCTCCTGCTGCAGGGCTGCAGCCCGTGATGTCCGGCCAGCAGCAGCCATACCAGGGCGTGATGGGGGTGCAGCAGTCCCAGACCCCCGGCCTCCTTGGCAGCCAGCGCAGCAGCGTCGGGGGGCAGATGCAGGGGCTGATGGTCCAGTACACACCACTGCCTTCCTACCAGGTGAGCTGCAGGGCAGCTGCCTTGTCCCCTCTGCCCCAGAGGTTTGAGCCCAGAAACCCCCATTCTTCGTGAGCTGTCACCACCCAGAAAAGATACCTGGGTGTCATGAACAGGTTTCCAAAACCATCAGCTCAGGACCCAGCTGCTACCAAAAAGGCAAACTCCTTAATAAGGTTATTAAGAAGGGAAAGTATCACTACACCCCTTTATACATCCATCCCTTGCATCCTGTGCCTGGTTCTGGTCATGCACCCCCAAATGGATCTAGAACCAGAGAAGGGCACCAAGGAATAATGCATGCTGCGGAGAAGCTGTCCTATGAGGAGAGACTGAAGCCAGGCCTGGGCAGTGTCGAAGAGACACTGGAGGGGGGGGACGGGACAAGAGAAGGGTTTACAACCCACTGAATGGCAAAGAGAAAGTACCTGGGGATTTTTTCCTGATGGTCTCTCTCAATACAAGAACGAGGGGTCCCAACACGAGACCATGTTGTCAGTTGAGAACAAACACCAGGAGAGGCTTTTCCCCCCAGCGTGGCATGAAGTGGGGGGACTCGTGGCCACCATGTGTGGTGGAAGCTGAGAGCATAGCCAGGTTCACAAGGGACTGGACCCATTTTTGGAGGAAAGGGGCATTGGGAGCTATTGGGCACAGGGGAGAGGGGCACGGCATCTGCATCCGAGCATCCTGGCCCTTCAGTGCTGGGGGCTGCAAAGGGGAGAGGAGCAGGGAAAACCCTGCTCAGGCCCAGTCACTCTCCCTTCCAGCCTCCGCTCTGCCCCTGTGTGACACCGGAGACTGGGCATGATGGACCTAGGGTTCCCCCGCCACCAATCCTCCCTTTCATCAGGGTGCTGGGTGCTAATAGCCACTGTGGGTATCTATAGTCTGAACTCAGGCAGGTGCGGGGGGGTGGCGGCTCTGGGCAAAGGGGTTCCCTGATGCCCACCCCATCTGTCTTCCTCCACCCATGGGCATCCATGTCCCTGACTGCCCCCACCCTTGCACTGACACTGCCCACCTGTCCCCAGTGTCACTGCTGGGGTGTCATGTCCCCTGAGCCCCCCCAGCCTGGGCTAACGGGGTCTCCACCCCCCACCAACAGGTGCCGGTGGGCTCAGAGGCGCAGGGCGTGGTGCAGCAGCCGTTCCAGCAGCAGGTGCTGGTGCCCGCCAGCCAGTCGGTGCAGGGTGGGCTGCAGGCCGGGGGGCTGCCTGTCTACTACAGCGTCATCCCCACGGCCCAGCAGAACGGGACCAGGTATGGGACGGGCTAGCTGAGGCTGTGGTGGGGTTCCCCAGCCAGTGTGGCCCTGCTGGGCTAGGAGGACCTGGGGTGGGGTCCTGCCTGTGACCAGGGGATCTGTGCAATGGGGGCTCACACAGGAGCCCTTCAGCTCTCTCCCCAGAAGCAGCTGCATTCCTATCTCGAGGATGCGTGAGCTGAAGGTGCTGCGGGTCCTTGTGGGGGGTGGGGGAGTTGGCTGGTGTTGTCCCCCTCTCCATCACCGTCCACCCCCTTCTTTGCAGCTCGTCTGTTGGGTTCCTGCAGCCGCCCGGCATCGAGCAGTACCAGCTGCCCCAGTCCCCATCGCCCTGCAGCCCGCCACAGATGCAGCAGCAGTATTCAGGTAGCGAGCCCACCCCATTGC